CCTCAGTGCAGACATGTGTTTCACTGCACCAGCATCTTTGGGAGGTAGTCAAAGATGCCGGTGCAGTACCGACGCATGTTCACTACACCATCTCCTCAGTGGGTGGACCCTCAGTGGGTGGCAGTAGTAAAAAAAACGCCAATCTTCCTCCCTCCTCCACACCCTGCCCTCCCTCCTCTCCCACACTCCCCTCACCTGAGGTAGTCAAAGATGTCGGTGCAGTAGCACCACACGTTCACTGACCCATACGTGCACGAGCTATTGGTGCACCCAAGGTCACCTCACACACAGTAACCAACTGAAATTCGTATATTGTTTTAGACTTCTCCCCCCACCTGAGGTAGTCAAAGATGTCGGTGCAGTACCGCCACACGTTCACTGATCCATACTTGCGTAAACACTCGTCATAGAAGCCGTACACCTGAGGGGAAGAGGGGGACGGGTGGTGGGGAGAGGGAGGGGGGGGAGAGGGAGAGGGAGAGGGAGAGGGAGGGGGGCCGACAAAGGAATCCGGGAAGCGAGGATGAAAAGAGAAAGTTCGTGCTGGAATGCCCACAGCAGCAGTTTCACAGCTGTTCACGGCAAGAAGAGAAAATGTGGTTGCAAGCTGGGCCGCAGAGACGATGAGAGGAGATGAGGAGAGGATGACGCCAGGAGGCGAGGAGAGGAAAGGTGAAGGCGAGGACGAGAGAGGAAACATGATAGAGCTAGCCATGAGATGAGAGGGAATGGACTGGGAAGCAAGATCGGTGAGAGGGAAACTCACCTGTGTTATTTGCCGGCTCTCGTGGTTCCCTCTAATGAGTGTGATTCTATCGGGATACCGCACCTGCACAGGAACCAACCGGCACATGACCAGCACCGAATCCAAGTAAACAAAAAAAAAAATCAAAAAGAAGGAGAACAGAAGAACACGCAAACCGTTCAGACTGATCATGTAAGCACACCACAGATTTGTGATATCTCAAAAATACCACTTACTGCCTTTTCATATATATGGCACTTAACCGAGCATGGCATCCACCCAGAGTTACCGCCTCATAAACACAGCACTTACTTTGAGTGCTAGGAGGAGGAGAAAGGTCTCAACGGAGTAGAACCCCCGGTCCACGAAATCCCCCATAAAGAGGTAATTCGTTTGTGGGCAGTCGCCGCCCACTTTGAAGAGCTCCATCATGTCGTAAAACTGCCCGTGGATGTCGCCACAGAGCTGAGGAAAAGAGGGCATGTTTGTTCCGATGGAAGTATGGTAAGGCACATGCGATGGAGTGGGAGGTGAGTAAGATTCCACACGATCCCACTTTGAAGAGCCCCATCATGTCGTAAAACTGACCTTGGATGTCGCCACAGAGCTGGGAGGGGGAGAGAGTGGAGGGATGGGGGAGAGGAGAGAGTGGGGGAAGGCAAAATGACTTTGAATGTCACCACAGAGGGGGGGTGGATAAAAAGAGGGTGGTGTTGGTGGAGGGAAAAGTAGGTTTCACACTAAATCTACTTTGTTGCACGATTCTGCCTTCCGCCCAGGCTCCTCCCAGAGCCTTGATGCAGGTCACGTTAAGACATATCCCCATCTAATATAGCCAAGTCGACTCGTTGCATGTTGCTCCCCCTCCACAGACCTCCATTCAAGCACCCGGTTACTGTCACTCGCGAAGCTCTGCGAGAAAGAACATCTCCTTACTGTTACAGGCGAGTCGACTCGCTGAACGTTGCTCTCCTCCACCAGAACCTCCATGGCTTTCATGCACAGCGCTTTCACCTCCGACTCCTTCAACGGCTCACATCGCCTCAGCTGCTCGATCTGACGGTCCAGATCCGACATCACGCCGCTCATCGCGCTACCACTGATCGCGGTCTTGACGCTCCTGCACGCAGCTTCGAGAACGTAACGAAATCTTCGAAATCTCCTCGTTCAACTTTCGCTTATCTTCGCCCGCTATTGCAAAAAGTGCTCGCCGCCCTATCCTGTTCCAGCGTCTTCCTGACTAGCGCACCAATTCACGGGTGAATGGTCGGGCTCCAAGTAATGCTTGAACTCCTAACGGTTAAGGTAATGCTGCTGCCGCATATGGCTTAACCAAGCCTTTTAAGTTGAATCCTAGGACTCGCCGCTCTCCTTTAAGCTTTTACTTTCAAACTCAAAGAAAACGTTGCTACTGCTGCTGGAATTCATACGATTCTTCTTATTCCTGACGGTAGCATACAAGAGTAATACCAAACCGATGTTAACATTAGTGACTGTAACGGTATACCGGGCTCGCTCGCTCCACCAACACGAGTCGCTCGCGTTTCCTCGTTTCTCAACTGATCCTTACTGCGACCCCGCGTGGTCACCTAAATGGAAAGCAACTATCTCGCATGAACCAGCCCAGTGGTAAAGTACCTAGTTCGACGTTCAAATGTACGACAAACGATACCCTAGGTGCATCTAGCTTCACCACCACGCCGTCTAGTCAGCCGTTCCTAAAGAGGTAATTGGGGAATTCGCAGTGGGACAGGTTCAAGTGACCTATACAACTCAAGTACTTCGTTTAGAGGGGTTTTCGCATTGTTACAGGACGGTCTATTCTTGTTTTAGAACGGTTGGGCGGGGATTTCAATAATACATATTCCCAAGGTGCCGAGCGACAGCCATGACGACAACGGCAAGGCGTCGTGAATTGAGTGTGCGACCCTCACTCGTGCCACTTCCGTGATTGGCAGACGAAAACCCTTGAAACTGGCTCAGCTCAGCGCGACGTCGTCGTCAGAGGCATGTCTTCACGTCAAGAGTAGAGGTTTCGTCACGGACACACTTCGACATTGTGCGAGGTCTATCAACTGAAATTCAATCGTGGTAAGACAAACATTCATTGCAACTTACAACAGAATTTCTAATAAGGTGGAGACCTCCAGTCCTAATCTCTGACTATTTAATAAAATTTTCATCATAAAAAACTCATTTAATCTACATTTATTGCACAGCTGGTTTATTTTTTCACACATAGAATGCTTATATCGCTTATTAACTTATGTTCTGAACCAACCGGTCATTCTAATGTGAGCACGTGGTCTGAGACAAGCGAGACTATAACGCGTTTGTATCTCCCGAGAGATCCAGCACCTTTTCTCTTCCTGGACAACTCGTCACATCACGTGCTGGTTGCACTTCTCCCTCGTCTCACCTGCTGACACCGCATACGCGACACACTCCACCATCGCCATGCACTGCGCTATCACAGTGATGCTGGCAGGTACTTGCTCGCACCTGCTAGGCTTCTCTAGATGCACCGCTCCATCCCCATGCAACGAGCTCCGCGGCGCAGGCACTCATCGGCTATTGGCGCGTGGTTCTGGCAGATTACTTTCTCGCACCGCACATGATTGCATTTTTCAAGGCGCGTTTCAAATTCATGCTCGATGTCTCTAGATGCGTCGCGAGCATGGTCTGTTAGCAGCATTTCAATGCGTCGCTTCGTCATGACGCCAGTAATTTCATGCATACCACCCCTCGCATCGGCTCCCATAGTCGAAGCCGCTACACAATTCAAGAACCTTTGTTGGCATCGACGCAGGTTACTATATAAGTAGCTCCATTCGCCGTAGTTCATCATCGAAGTTTTCATATCACTTTCACTGCCTTGCAAACGTTACCTTCAAGCTCTCATACCCAACAAGCTCGCACTTTGTCACTGACGCTCTTGCTTTGCCGCCGAGTAAATAGTTCAGAGCTCTCTGTTCGCACGATCGTTACTTCTGACTACCCGCCATGGCTCTCGCTCCGTGGACCGGCATGGGCATGATGGACCCCTTCGCCCCGATGACGGGCCTCACGTCCCCCACGGGCCCGCTAGAGATGATGCCGCGTTGGATGCGCTTCCCCGACGAGTTCAGCTCGCTCTTCGAGGCTCCCACCGCCTCCTTCCTCCGTGAGACGCAGGTGAGCTATAGTAACCCTGCCCATTTTGGTTTCGCAGCTTGTTTTCGTTTTTTCATGCGATTGTTATACCTGAGAACTGTACTTCTGATCTGATTATGCGTTTTTTTAGTTTTTTTTGGGTCAATTTCCCGTCGATGAACAAGAGCTGGCCTTGCGGTTTATTCCTGATCTGGGTTACATTGATATTTTTCGCAGGACATTGCTCGCACGGCGGTGGACGTTCGCGAGACAAACGACGCGTTCAAGTTCATCGCAGACATGCCCGGGCTGCGACGCGAGGAGGTGAAGGTTCAGATCGAAGACGGTAACGTGCTCGCGATTCGCGGCGAGCGTACGCGCGAGAAAAAGGAGGACACCGGAAGGTACCACCGCATGGAAAGGAGCTCCGGGAAGTTTCTCCGCAGGTTCCGCCTTCCGGAGAACACGGAGGTGGATAAGGTTACGGCGAACACGGAGCATGGCGTGCTTACTGTGACCGTGCCTAAGAAGCAGCCTACCGTGCCGCAGAAGGAAGCCGAGCCTAATGTTCGTGACGTCAAGATTCAGTCGATGGAGTGAAAGTCGCACAAGTTGGCTGTGCAATAGTAGCTGGTAGATACCGTACTTGTTCGTGATCATGTCGCGTCACGCGCAGCTCGCTTGTTGTACATAAGCTGTGTGTACCAGTGTTTTGATAACAAGTGACCACTTCTTACCGTAAAAACCAAACTGCATGTTATGAATCAGGAAGTAAAGCAGAACTAAAACATCCTTACTGTACTCTGGTATAAGAGCGCCAGGTTTTGAGCTGTCCGCCAAAAAATATCGTACCGGTATGTTTCTTTTATTCATCAAAACTCCTCCCTGGTATAAGTTCCACTTGTTGCATTCAGTAAGCGTCTTTAATTCACGCTCCATAGCTTCACGCTTTTCCCTCTGGATGCACTAGAATGCTCACAATGTGATACTCATGTTTAGCGTTGTGCATTATATCCTATGCAGGTCCATGGACCTGTGAAACGTTCGGTCTGAGCATTCCCAGACAGGGTCAGATGAACACCCCTTTGGAAGCAGCAATGAACAGGTATTAAAAAACCTACACCTATGTTCCAGCAGCTGCAGTTGGCTTGGAAGTTGATATTGAACTTGCCACCCCTGCTCTCTCAAAGTACTTGTTATCCTGTAACACACGCCAGAAAAAGTGATGAGCGTAAAAACAGATGGATGCGAAACTCTGGAGGATGAGAAATTGAAATATCAGCAAAAGCATTGCGAAAAAGCGTGCCTGCACATGTCACATGGGAGAAAGCGTCATGAAGAAATGTGTTATATAATAAAACTACATGAAAGAAAGAGAGATATAGTACACATAACCACAGACACATGAAATGTACACCAACAACACCATGCCACCACATTCCATTCACCCAAGCATGTACGGTCCAACACTCAACCATCTGCTTTTGAGATGTCAGAAAACATGTCACAATGACCCTCATCCCATCCGCCCATGGCACATGCATGCACACATGTGTGTGCACATGGCAACGCACCAGCATCTGTTGGTAGGTAGTAATGATGGCATCTCTCTCCATGCATGTGTCTGTGTATGCCTGCATGCTTGCTGCTGCCTGTGGGGCAAGGGGAGGAGGACAGGAGAGCAGAAGCAAAGACAAGAGGCAGCTAGGTAGTAATGATGGCATCTCTCTCCATGCATGTGTCTGTGTATGCCTGTATGCTTGCTGCCTCCTGGAGTGGAAGAGACGGTTAGAGCGTGAAAGAGAAGGGAGCAGAATAACGAAAGGCAGGTAGAGATGATGGCATCTTACTCCATGCACGTGTCTGTGTATGCCTGCATGGTGGTTGCTGCCTTCAGGAAGAAGAGAAGATTAGAGGGGGAGGGAGCAGAATGAAGGTAGGTGGTGATGATAAGATTCTCGCTCCATGCATGTGACAGTGTACGCCTGGATGGTGGCTGCTGCCTGCAGGGGCAGGGGAAGGGGAGGAGGATAAGAGAGCAGACTGATTGAGCGAACAGCAGCGACCAGAGGCAACTAGGTGGTGATGATGGCACCTCGCTCCATGCATGTAACAGTGTACGCCTGGATGGTGGCTGCTGCCTGCAGGGCAAGGGGAGGAGGATAAGAGAGCAAAATGATTAGAGGCAGCTAGCTGGTGATGATAAGCGACTCGCTCCATGCATGAGTCTTGTGTATGCCTGGATGCTTGCTGCTGCACCTGCAGTGTCAAAGCAGCAAGAACAGCAGAGCGGAGGAGGATTAGAGGCCGAGGGAGAAGGCAGAACAACAGAAGTGAGAGGCAGGGGTTTGTGTGAAGTGTACGCCTGGATGGTTGATGCTGCCTGAACTGTCAACAGGGCACTGAACGATTATAAAAACATACAATCACACATATACATACGCACATGATGCGTGTAACCAAGAAGAAGTCTGCACCTCCAGCCCGCCTAACCAATTTGAGGCGCCTCAAAAGGCACCTCCAGCCCGCCTAACCAATTTGAGGCGCCTCAAAAGGCACCTCCAGCCCGCCTAACCAATTTGAGGCGCCTCAAAAGGCACCTCCAGCCCGCCTAACACAGTGCCTCAAACCAGCGCTGCAGGTTGGGGCGGCCCTTGGTGATGACAGTGTGGCAGAAATGGTCAAATACACTCGCACTTCTGACTGCTGCGCACCAGACCACCGCCTCAAACCGCCTCACACCGTACCTTGAAGCACCGACTCACACCGCGCACCACCGCCTCGCACCATACCTCGAACCAGCGCTGTAGGTTGGGCCGGCCCTTGGTGATGTTGATGTGGCAGAAATTCTCAAATGCGACCTCTTGCAGGCCATACCACCACCTCACGCTTCCCCATACCACCTCACACCGCACAACACCTCCTCACACCGTACCTCGAACCAGCGCTGCAGGTTGGGGCGGCCCTTGGTGATGTCGGTGTGGCAGAAATGGTCAAAGGCGATGCGGAAGCGCTCTAGGAAGGGCAGATAGGCGATGTCCACCTGGTGGGGTGAGGAGAGACAGACAGAGAGTGTGAGGAAATGGCAGGTCCGGTGGGGGAGGTGGGGGAGGCATTGGCAAACGAGGCGGCGATTTTGAAGCGCTTCAAGAAGGGCAGGTAGGCGATGTTTTTGATCGAGGAAGGGAGGGGGAGAGACAGACAGAGAGTGTGAGGAGGAGACGAGGCGTTGTGTGACAACGGCAGGCAGAAATTGTCGGAGGCAATTCTGAATTGCTCTAGGAAGGGCAGATAGATGACTTCCACCCGGTGGGGAGGGAGGCAGATGGGGGGTGGAGGAGATAATGGTGGGGGGAAGGTGCTGTGGGGGAGGTAGGTATTGGTGGGGAAGGTATTGGGGGGGAAAGGTTTTGGGGGGAAGGTATTCGGGGGGAAGGTATTGAGGAGGACTCGTAGGTGGGGAAGGCATTGGGTCAAAACGACAAGATGACCCAATGCCTTTCTTATTATGCCCCGAATAAAGGAGCTTGTTGGTAAGGCAAGGCGTAGATACTGAGGCATTGACAGAATGACAATTCAAGGCGCATATTCTAATGGTGACAAAAATACTGACATGAGCCATTAGAATAAACAGACTTGCAGCAATGATTTCTGTACGGTGCTTACGTATGAGAAGCTTCCAAGAAAGAACGGGCCATCCCCCTGGCGTTTGGTTAGGCTCGCCTCCAGAGAGTCCAGATGCGATCCTGATAGGCACATGATGATGGCATGGCACAAGAGTCTATGTGATTCTGATGGGAAACCCATCACATAGGAAACCCACAAGAACGATTCATATTGCACACAGAAAAATTCAACAGAATGATGCCATGACTCCTTCCATAGCCGCAGAGGCCATAGAGGCAATACGTCTGTGTTTGATCAAAAGCAGGGACAGGCTTGATAGCCATGAGCTGCTGTAATGATAGCACAGCATTATGATGCCACGACTCCATTCCAGAGGTTGGAATAGGCATGGCACAGAGGGGCAAGGCAGCACTTGTGTTTCAAAAGGTAGACAAGATAGACGTGGATTCACAAGATAGACGTGGATTCACAAGATAGACGTGGATTCACAAGATAGACGTGGATTCACAAGATAGACCTGGATTCACAAGATAGACGTGGATTCACAAGATAGACCTGGATTCACAAGATAGATTGCAGCAGTTGCAGACTATAAACATTCTTGAAGCGCCTCAAACGCCATTGAACAGACGTAGAGCCTCAAACGTAGAGCCTCAAACGCCTCAAACGCCTCAAACGCCATGCAATGCCAGAACGCGCACACGAATTTACACGATAGCTAAATGAGATTGCAAGCAGGTTCGGCTTCATCTTTGTCAATCCTTCTCATCGATGGACACATGAGTATACTTGATTCAGGATTCAAAACAACCCATCGCATCAACTTAGTTGGATTCAAAACGACCTATCGACCCATCGCACACAAGTACTCCGATTGAAGAAGCACAAAGAGACTCGTGTGCTTCTTGAATCTGAGACACACCACGCCAAGCCGTGCCACTTCATGTCTCCCATGTGATAACTATCTTGTTCTTGAAACATCCCACAACAAATTTGGTTCGCCATGGCGAGGTGGAAGTGGAGGCTGCGATGGGTGAGAGGAGGATAAGGAATGGCATGCCACGCCATGCCATTCCGCATGCCATACCATGCCATTCCGCATCCATCGCCCATCGCAGCCTCCACTTCCACGTTGCTGGGAGAGAGCAGACACAAACACACACAGTCGCACACAAACAGCCTCGCATACACCACACCACACCCATCCACATCCCTCTCTCACCCATAGCAGCCTCCACTTCCGCCTCGCCGCCCGTCTGATAAAGCTGGGAGAGAGAAGAGTAACCAGCCATCATCAAGTCCCCGCATGCGGCTACAAGTGCTGATGCTTCTGCTGCCAAGGCAGGATTCTGCATGCATTGGGGTAGGCAGGCAGGTCAGGAGAGAACAAACGCAGTGGGAGGGGTGTCATAGAGGTGGGTGGGAGGAAGAAGAGTATCCAGCCATCATCAAGTCACCGCACGCTGCTACAAGCGCTGATGCCTCTGCTGCCACGGCAGGGTCCTGAATGCATGCAGACAGCGGCATTGACGGTGGGGGTTGGCAGCATCAAGCAGGTTCAGTGCGAGCCCAGGCAATGGGGGTGTGACAGAGATGGGAGATAGCCGAGCATCCGGCCACCATCATGATCCTGCATGCTCCCCGGCCCTTTGATCCCGAACCACTCATCCAGCAGCAACAGCAGGTCCAAACCATTCTCTCACTGTTCCCATCCCCAGCAACCACAGCGCTATCTGAACACCAGCACTCACCTGAGGCACGATCCTAGGCCCCTTGTCACGACAACACCAAAGCCTGCACTTGTTGTAATTCCATGCCATTTGCCACTGCTCACCTGACGCATGATCCTCGGCCCCTGATAGCAGAACCAAACCATTCTCTCACATTCCCTTCCCTAGCACTCAGAGTGCTATCCAAGCACCAGTACTCACCTTAGGCACGATCCTCGGCCCCTTGTCTCATCCACGATCCACGATCCTCACCTCACACCTCCAGTTCCATACTCCAACGTTCATCCAAAGACACTTCGACGACAAGCATTTAAAGAGAGTACTCACCTCAGGCACAATCATTAGTCCCTTGTCACCGAACCACTCGTCAATCAGCAGCAGCAGGTCTAAGCTCTCCCCCAAGACCTACCGCCTCAGATTCTCTTCTCTTGTACCACATACCCTGTACGTACTGCCAGTACTCACCTCAGGAACAATCCTCGGCCCCTTGTCGCCGAACCACTCATCAATCAGCAGGACAAGCAGGTCCAAGCTCTCCCCCACCACCTTCCCTTGTAGCAAATAACCTGAACTTGTACTCACCTCAGGAACAATCCTCGGCCCCTTATCGCCGAACCACTCATCAATCAGCAGAAGCAAATCCAAGCTCTCCCCCACCACCTTCCCGTCATGCTCCATGGCAGGCACCTTGCCTGGCGGATACACTCTCTCCGTGTACCTGTGGGTGGGCGAGAGGGTTGTGAGGGTGAGGAGGAGGGTGGAGGTTTCCTAACAGGCAGCATGTTAACACCGCTTAGTAACCAGCAGCAGCAGCAGCAGCAGCAGGTTCAGCCTCTCTCCCTCATCGCCTTCCCTGCATGCTCCATGGCAGGCACCTTGCCTGGCGGATACACCTTCTCCGTGTACCTGTGGGTGGGTGGGTGTGGAAGGGTGGGTGGAACGGGCAGGGAGGAGAGGCATGGTAACCAGTAAGATCCAATGTGGTAACCAGCAGCAGCAGCAAAGGTCTGCCTTAGCAAGTTTTATCCAGTGGCATACCATTCTGGTTTGCTGCGGAGACTGATCTCCACTCGCCTGATGGACTAGCTTGATGAACTCAAGACGCTGTTAATAGCCATTGGGACCCGTATGGTAACCAGCAGCAGCAGCAGCAGCAGCAGCAGCAGCAGCAGCAGCAGCAAGAGAATGATCCAGCAACTCTCATCCAGTGCGTGCATGCATACAATTCTGGTTTGCTGCGCGAAGACCTATCTCCACTCGCTCGATGAAATCAAGACTGTGTGCGTAACCGGTGGAACCCATGCGGTAACCAGCAGCAACAGCAACAGCAACAAGAGCCTGATCTGATCTAGCAACCCTCATCCAGTGCGTAGGGCGTACCATTCGGGCTTGCTGCGAAGACTGATCTCCACTCGCTCGATGAAATCAAGACCCTGACATGAGGAAACAGAGAGGTGATGAGAGTACACTGTAAGCAGAAAAGGGCATAGGCTATAATGAAAGTTCTCAAATCAACATGGAACAAACAAAAACAAACAAAGAAATACATTAAGCTCACTAGCAAGACAGGCAGCTCAGTAGCAAGACAGGAGACTCACCATGCATGAAAGACAGGGGTGAGAGAGGGGGGGAGGAGAGGGAAATGGTTACTGCTAACTGTCGGTTGACAGGCAGCTCACCTTGTAGTTGACAGCAATCACCGCCCGCTGAGCGAAGGGACACGCCTTGTAGTGGTATAGGCTGGAAGGGGGGTGTGGGGGTGTGAGGGGAGGGGGGGGAAGAGAGGAGAGAAAACACTGTTGAATGGTTACTGGTAACTGTCGTTGACAGGCGTCGCACCTTGTAGTTGACAGCAATCACCGCCCGCTGAGTATAGAATGGAAGCGGGGAACGGGAAAAGAGGAAAGGAGGAGGGATAAGGGAGGATTCTGCAATGACGTCTATTGTCGCCTAAACTTGACTGAAGTTGACTAGCTATTTGTGGTGACCATGTTGAATTGACCGCGTGGTGCTGTCAAGCACGGCAAGAGTTCTTTCAGCGTTGACTAACGTTGACTTCCGTGGACCGACCTAGACTCACCACGTGGTGCCGTCAAAGAGAGCAGGAGCGGGCGATTCCGCACTCAGCGGCTCCATGACCGCCACGTCCCCCTTGAATTGCGGTGACTAGCGTTGACCTGCGTTGACCTACCGCGTGGTGCCGTCAAACAGGGCAGGAGCAGGCGAGCCCGCACTCAGAGGCTCCGTGGCTGCCGATGAAGCTGCTGCGATCTTAGCCTGAGCCATTACAGCCAGCCTGGCCTTGCCGTGAGTCCCTCGCGGCGTGACACGTGGCAGACGTACGCGACTGGCGTGCAGGGAGGCGCCGGATAAGGTCCTACGTGGCAATATGACACGAATGAAGGGACGGGCCGACACAGGAGATGGAAGACGGAAGATAGTTGGATATTAACACGTGGCATGCTACGATGCGACCTTCGACTCAGTCCAGAAAACACACGAGGGGAGAATTCGCTACAAGCACGTAGCCCGATCACATGGTGTGGGCTGAAGCTACGGATTGAACGGACGGAAATAGAGATTAACGCACTTCGACAAGGGAATTGCGGGAGCGAATAATCGAGCCCCTTGATTCGTCAAAATGGCGGCGGAGGAAGAGGCGACGGAAGCAGCCATGGCTCGTAGTGCTAGGATATCACACGGCTCGTTGCCTTCCCAACCAGAGAAGTAGTAGCAACTAGTAGCTACACGTATGCAACAAAGTCGTTTCAGCTGAGCATGCACCAGTCACTCTGGCTTCAGACATGGTGAATTCTGGTTTTGTACGCGGTATGGACAGACTCGAATGCGTTTAGAACCGTCGATCTCTCCAAGAATGGACGTCCAAAATGAACGAGTGAACTGAAAAGCGAGTGCATGCATCCAGGCATTCTCGCCAAATACAAGAGCGGCAAACTTGTACAGGGTAAGAGCGAGCTCGGTACTGTATACATCCAGCTCGACACTGTGAAGAAAAGAGGATCAAGAAAAAATCGTTAAAAACTCGTCCAGAGCTTCCAGTACACTGGTCGGCTGAAGTGACTTTTCCACTATTTCAGAACCAGGGCCTTTTTCGGTGTCAATAACGCTACACTACCAGTTTTTTTGCACTCCTCAGCACCTAGTTGAGGTAACTAGATCCAGCTACTCATCATAATGTAACATGATGCATTTTCTACCCATTTATAGGGAGTGCTTTATGGGTGTAGACGATCTCCTTGTCCTTGTTGACCACCTGCCCGTTACCTCTCAGCAACCAGCGCGTTGTGAGGAGCCCCTCCACCCCGACAGGCCCTCTCGCATGGATGCGGCTCGTGCTGATGCCCACCTGCAAAGGACATAGAATGTGGTACGAGCAGAAGATTAAGTTGTTTGGAGTGGAGGAATTAAAAAACCCACGAACTGAGCATCTTTATGCAAAGAAGTGCCGTAGAATGGGTGTCGCTTGCACGGATGCCAAAATCGCACTAGAGGGAGATGAAATCAAGCAGTAACAATCATTAGATTGGAAGATGTCAATGAAGCAAACACTTATTTAATACTCCTCTTTTCTTATTATCTCACCTCAGCCCCAAGCCCGAAGCGGAAGCCGTCGGAGAAGCGAGTGCTGGCATTGTGCACCACGACCGCACTGTCCACCGACGCCAGAAACTTCTTTGCAGCTTCCTCATCCTCCGTAATAATGGCGTCAGTGTGCGCGCTGCCGTGCGTGTGGATGTGGTGGATGGCCGCGTCAATGTCCGGCACGATCTCCACCGTACATTCCAGCGACCCGTACTCGTGGTGTAAAGTGGGTGCCTGAGGAAGGTTGAAAGCAGATGCTGCGGTCGCACCTGCATGAAGGACTATGCCTGTGTAAAGAGGGGAAGAGACAGGGCGGTAGTGAGAGAGATGATATACAGGGATACCACTGCAATGGTTTCTGCACACATTGCAATGTGCTGAGGAAATCACCTCGAATGCGTATTTCCCTCAGTGCTATACATACTGTTCTTGAGCGGACTCGAACTTAACTCGGTGTTCCTACACATACCATTGTCTTTGAGCTCTTGAATGAGCTCTGCTGCTGCTCCTGACTTCACCAGCTCCTCATGGAGTAGCAGGGTCTCCTGTAACGAGTACAGCACAAGGAAAGAAATCGGAAAAACAGGCACATGAGACATATGCCGCATCACCCCGTCATATATAGGAGTGAACAAACGGGAACAAATGCATCCAGTCGTATGGATGAAAAACTTTCATGCATTGTGTATCTAACCATGGCATTGCAGGCAGCAGGGTGGTCTATCTTGGCGTCGAGCACGATCCCAACTGCATGCGCCTTGCAGGCCCCAACTCACCATGGCATTGCAGGCGGCTGGGTAGTCCAACTTGGCGTCGAGAATGATCCGTTTGGCCATCTTGAGGCTGGCTGCCTTGTCCACGTACACGTGGCACACGCCGTCCGCATGGCCCAGCACCGCAATCTTGGTGTGCGATTTGATATGATTCACCAGCGCGTTGCTGCCGCGCGGAATCACCAAGTCGATCACGTCGTCCAGCTTCAGCAGATCCGAGATGTCGTCGCGCGAGGTCACCAGGCCGATCAAGGCTGGGCCAACCTCGGGTGGCAAGGCAGAGGAAATAACCTGGGCAGAGTGTGAGGGGGCAGGGAGCAAGCAGGACAGTGAGCATAAAATCGGCACAGAGTGGAATCACGAGGTCGATCACGTCGTCCAGCTTCAGTGTTAGGGAGGGGAGAGTGGGGTGTGGGGGTGGGAGGACTGCCGCGCGGAATCACGAGGTCGATCACGTCGTCCAGCTTCAGCAGATCCGAGATGTCGTCCCGCGAGGTCACCAGGCCGATCAATGGAGGGCCGAATTCAGGTGGCAGGGCGGACGCTATCACCTGGGAGAGGGGGAACGTGGCTTTAGAGGTTTTCAACTGTACGACTGCATGGATAAGAGGTTATGTATACACCATCAACCAGTTACTCCACGGTGGCTAACTAATGGATCTTGCATCAATCATTGATATCTGAATGCTTATCTCATGATGGTTACCACTCACATGTGGTTACCTTATGACTACCTTGTGGTTACCACATACTCGGTGCTCGGTGCACGCGTGCCCCTCACCTCATGGATGATGCGGTTGGAGTTGAGTGCCTCCTTGCCTCCCTTGAGCAACAGATTGGATGTGACGTGGTGGTGGTGTCACACGAGAAGGCAATGTAATGATGCTGGTTACCAGACACATCTGGTTACCACATGCACGGAGCTCACCTCGTGGATGATGCGGTTGGAGTTGAGTGCCTCCTTCCCTCCCTTGAGCAACAGCCCGTTGCCACTGCGAATCGCCAGCGCTGCAATCTGGGGAGCACAGCCCAGGGATGGGTGGAGGGAGTGACAGGGAGAGGCAATGGAGAGAGAGAGATAAAGGGAAATGGAGGGGGAAAGAGAAAAAACAAATTATACAGCATGTAAGCAGGCCGTTTTGGGAGCCACAAGGGAACAAGGGAAGGGAAAAAGATGGTGGGAAAGGGCATGGCTTGCTCCTAAGAGAGAGACAACGGAGGATAGGCATGCTCACCGCTAAAAAAACGATGGTAGGAAAGATGTATGACATGGCGTCACCCTTCTCACCTACAGCATAGAAAATAGTATCCATATGCGTATTACTACCTGTGGCATGGCGTCACCCTTCTCACCTGCAGCATAGAAAATAGTATCCATATGCGTATTACTACCTGTGGCATGGCGTCAGGGCGAGCATTACTACCTGTGGCATGGCGTCAGGGCGAGCATTACTACCTGTGGCATGGCGTCAGGGCGAGCATTACTACCTGTGGCATGGCGTCAGGGCGAGCATTACTACCTGTGGCATGGCGTCAGGGCGAGCATTACTACCTGTGGCATGGCGTCAGGGCGAGCATTACTACCTGTGGCATGGCGTCAGGGTGAGCATTACTACCTGTGGCATGGCGTCAGGGCGAGCATTACTACCTGTGGCATGGCGTCAGGGCGAGCTTCAAAGATCACCAGCAGCACTCCCAGCGGCCACCTCTGCTTCTCCAGGTTGAGCCCCTCTGCCAGCTGCGTACAGAAACGCAAGGGCAGAGAGTGAGAAGGAAAGTGAGAGCAAACTATTGAGTCGATTCAAATGTTCAGCCCCTCTGCTAGCTGCGCCCGGCAATGCAAGGGCAGCGCGCGAAAAGAGAGATGGGAGCGAGAGCAGATGAGGAAGGGCCCTCTGCCCTGCTGGCTTTGGATGGAAGAAACTGGGAATAGAGCCAGCGACTTTGCTCGAGACAGCATGTCTGATATCGGGTCAGGTCAGGCATCACTATTGCATGCAACACAGTGAAACACCATGACATCCGTTCCCACAAACCCCATTCCCCCCTCCCTCCCTCTCCCTTCCCCACCACACCCACCCACCTCTGTGCGGGCCAGCGTCTCTGCTATCGGATCAGGCAACACAGGATGGTGACACATCCCAAATACCCCATCCCTCCACTTCATCCACCACACCCACGCACCTCTGTGCGGGCCAGTGTCTCTGCTATCGGATCAGGCATCTCTGCAATTGCCCGAATGCCCTCCGCTAGCTGTTGAATCTGCAGGCAAGAAGGGATGTGGAAGGGGTGGTGGGGAAGAAGTGAGAGGGGATAGCAGGTAGAGGGAGAAGGGGTGAGGAAGAGGGATACATGGAAGAAATCTAGGCATCTCAGCAATGGCTCGAATGCCCTTTGCAATTTGTTGGATCTGCGGGCAATAAGGGAACTGGAAGTGGAAGAGGAGAGGAGCGGAAGGGAGTGAGTTGGGTCTTTCCATGTTTGCTCGGATCGAATGCCATCCACCGTACCTTGTATGTGTGCCCCCTGCCTGCCTCCCACCTCACCAGTGCAACTTTCCTTCAGACGATCTGCAGCCACTCACTCACCCATTCCCTCTTCCACTTTATTCACTCACTCCCTTACCATTCAATCCTGTATGCCCTTCCCTCGCTCACTCAATCAATCCACTCACTCAACCTTGGCGCTCACGCACTCTCTCACCCTCCACCCACCCGGTTGGGCTACTGAGCGGGCACATCGCCGTTGGTCTCAGCTGGGCTGACGAAACGTTGTGAGATTTCTGTTTGATGACCCCCATTCACCAGGCGCAATGCATATGGCTTTCAAAAGATACCCAACCAGCAACTCACTCTTTCTTCCCCTTCACTTACACACTCTCTCACTGTTAAAGCTCGCACGTCCATTCGCGCATTCTACCCCTCTTCCCATTCACCCACTCACTCCCTCCCTCTTCACCTCCTCCACCCTCCACTCACCCGGTTGGGTTTCAACTTCAGCCGCTGCAGCAGGGCCGGTGCAACGCCGTTGATCTCAGCCGTCTGTACGTCATGGGCGTTCTGCTCCACGATCTCCGCCTCTCTCTTCACCAGAGCATCCGCCACGTCCAGCAACACCTGCTTGCGCTGCTGCGTAGTCAAAGCCTGGATAAAAGGGGTTTACAGAGGGAGGAGGTCCGCCTCTCTCAAGTGAGCATACTGCTGTAAGACCTCCGCCTCTCGTTTCACCAGAGCATCTGCCACATCTAGCAACACCTGCTTGCGCTGCTCCATGCTCAGAGCCTGTACCAGGGCGAGTAGAGCAAGGGTGGTGGTGGGGAAGGGAGATTGCTGAAACTGACTGGTGGCATGCGGAAAGGGACAGGCCGTCTCCACCTCTTGCTTCACCAGCGCATTCGCCACGTCTAGCAGCACCTGCTTGCGCTGCTCCGTAGTCAAAGCCTGGAGGTGGAGGGTGGGGGAGGTGTTAGGGGGGAGGGGAGGGAGGGATGCAGGTGGGTGGGACACGTGCTGTATGATCTCTGCCTCGCGTTTCACCAGCATATCCGCCACGTCCAGTAACACCTGCTTGCGCTGCTCCGTGGTCAGAGCCTGGAGGTGGAGTAGGGAAGGGGGTTAAGAATGGGGTTGGGAGAGACCTACGCTGTATGGCCTCAGCCTCTCTCGTCACCAGCGCATCTGCCACGTCCAGTAACACCTGCTTACGCTGCTCCGTGCTCAGAGCCTGGAGAGGAGAGCAGGGAAGGGGGTTGGGAATGGGGTTGGGAATAAGGTCGGGAAATGAGCCTCTCGTTTCACCAATGCATCGGCCACATCTAAGAGAACCTGCTTACGCTGCTCCGTGGTCAGAGCCCGAATGGCAGCAGGGGAGGGGTTGGGGGATGGGGTGGAGGAGCGGGTGGGGGGGTGAGGGAGGGAATGAAGGAAAGGAAGGGACAGGGGAAGGAGTGGCAAGCGGGCGCTCTGCTCCATGATGGGCGTTCTACACACAAAATGCTTGCTTCTGCTGCTCTGTGGTCAGAGCCTAAATAGCAGAGGAGGGGATGGGAGGCGGGGTGGGGTTAACCACTAGCCTAAAACCCGAACCCCTGACCTGCAACCCACCTGCAGCTTGCGGCTGGCATCTCTGGCAGCCACAGCCATGTCCCTCCCTGCGCTCTTGACAGATTTAGAGACCGCCCACAGGTGAGAGGCCTTGTGGAAGAGAGAGCCGACCATCTCCCCCGCCAGCACCCACCTTTGAGCCCTAAACTCTGACCCTGGAACCCCGAACCTGGAACCAGAAACCCACCTGCAGCTTCCGGCTGGCATCCCTGGCAGCAACAGCCATGTCCCTCCCAGCGCTCTTCACACTCTTAGAGACCGCCCACAGGTGAGAGTCCTTGTGAAAGAGCGTGCCGACCATCTCCCCCGCCAGCACTCGCAGCACCGCGTCGCTTGATAACCCACTCGCAATGACTGTGGGCACTCCGCCTCCGGACGCATGGATTGCTGCTTCGACTTTTGCTGTCATTCCGCCGCGACCCAGCCGACTCTTCTGGCCGAACCTGGCAGTTTTGTATGGTGGGGAGGGAAAAGAGGCTGTGAAACAGCTTGCTGCGTGTGTTTTTTGAGAATTCTCAAAGAACCAGCTTGCTGGCGATCACTGTGGGCACTCCGCCGCCTGATGAGTGGATTGCTGCTTCGACTTTGGCTGTCATTCCGCTGCGACCCAGCCGACTCTTCTGGCGGAACCTGGAATCAGGAGGCCGGGAGGCAGCGAGAGGCAACGAAATGCCTTAGAGACCCTGAAATGTCTGAAATGAGAGCCAGACCTGGAAGTGGGCAAGATAGAGAGATAGGTGCGTGAGTGAGCAGACACAAGGCTCCGAGTCAGGGTCCCAGGGCGGCTTACTAGGTGTCTGCTTGCAATGCAACACAAGGCTCTTCAACTTTCAACCCTGAAAGCCCCCTACGTTTCACCCACAACCTCCCAGACTAGAACCGAATGCACCTGATGGAGTCTTCATGCACGCACGCTCTTGGTGTAAATGTGAATGAGCTCCGAGTCAGCAGCTCACCAAGTGTCTGCTCTTGAGACTGAACCCTGAACCCTCAATCTTCCACACTGAACTCCTTCCAGCCTCCAAGCCAAGCCTGCCTGATAGAGTCCCCGTGCACGCTCGGCACGTAGGCGTGGAAGAGCTCCGATTCAGGGTCCAGGGCAGCCAGCTAGTGTCTCCCTTCTTCACCCGGTATACCCACTTGATGAAGTCCCCGTGCACGCTCGGCACGTAGCTGTGGATGAGCTCTGAGTCAGGGTCCCAGTGCGGTTAGGTAGGGGTACACCTGAAGGCTGAACCCCACGCATAAACCCTACTCCGTCCACCCTCCTCCCCCTGTAAACCCACTTAATGGAGTCCCCATGCACGAGCTCCAAGTCAGGATCCCAGGGCGGCTAAACAAGCGTCACCTCGCATCCCAACTTGTAACCCTAAACCCCAAATCCTCCTTTCTTGTACACCCGGTATACACACTTGATGGAATCCCCATGCACGCTCGGCACGTAGGTGTGAATGAGCTCCGAGTCAGGGTCCCAGGGCGGCTTGGTGTAGAGCCCCTCGATATCTGACAGCAGCACACACGCGTCTGCCTGGAGCTCTAGCGAGAGGAGAGCCGCCAGGGAGTCATTGTCCCAGAAGATACCTGCCAGCGAGAGCACAAGGGAAGGGTGGGGGAGGAGGAAGGGGAGGGGTGGGAAGGGGAGAGGAAATTGGGCTTGGGGTAGAGCCCCTCGATGTCTGACTGCAGCACACACGCATCTGCCTGGAGCTCTAAGGATAGGAGCGCCGCCAGGGAGTCGTTGTCCCAAAAGATACCTGCGAGTGCGGGAGCAGGGAGGGGTGGGGAGGGGTGCGGAGGGTTGGGGTTAAGGGGTTGAGTGGGGCGGCTTGGTGTAGAGCCCCTCGATGCCCGACAGCAGCACCAGCGCATCAGCCTGGAGCTCCAGGGATAGGAGAGCTGCAAGGGAGTCGTTGTCCCAAAAGATACCTGCGAGAGAAGAGGAAAGAGAAGGGTCACCAATCAAGCAGCAGGGAGGAGTCTCTAGACGTACATCACTCCCTTACATCAACATGTGGCAGCATTGCACTAACAACCGCCCTTCCACCTGCAAGCAGATCACTAAGACCTCACCAGCCGCATCTCTGTATGGCGCCCTGCAAGTCGAGATGGTGTCCTTCTCATTAAACACCGGCACCACGCGGTGGTCCAGCAGGGAGGACACTGACTGCTTTGACGAGGCTGACTCTACTGACTGTGGGTGGCCATACATGCCGGTCCCCCTCACACGACCAGCTACCCAGCCAGCTCATCCTTGTACGGTGCAACACGGGTGGAGATGGCGTCGTTCTCGTTGAACACCGGCACCACACGGCGCTCCAGCAGGGACGATACTGACTGCTTTGACGAGGCTGACTCTACTGACTGTGGGTGGCCATACATGCCGGTCCCCCTCACACGACCAGCTACCCAGCCAGCTCATCCTTGTACGGTGCAACACGGGTGGAGATGGCGTCGTTCTCGTTGAACACCGGCACCACACGGCGCTCCAGCAGGGACGATACTGACTGCTTTGACGAGGCTGACTCTACTGACTGTGGGTGGCCATACATGCCGGTCCCCCTCACACGACCAGCTACCCAGCCAGCTCATCCTTGTACGGTGCAACACGGGTGGAGATGGCGTCGTTCTCGTTGAACACCGGCACCACACGGCGCTCCAGCAGGGACGATACTGACTGCTTTGACGAGGCTGACTCTACTGACTGTGGGTGGCCATACATGCCGGTCCCCCTCACACGACCAGCTACCCAGCCAGCTCATCCTTGTACGGTGCAACACGGGTGGAGATGGCGTCGTTCTCGTTGAACACCGGCACCACACGGCGCTCCAGCAGGGACGATACTGACTGCTTTGACGAGGCTGACTCTACTGACTGTGGGTGGCCATACATGCCGGTCCCCCTCACACGACCAGCTACCCAGCCAGCTCATCCTTGTACGGTGCAACACGGGTGGAGATGGCGTCGTTCTCGTTGAACACCGGCACCACACGGCGCTCCAGCAGGGACGATACTGACTGCTTTGACGAGGCTGACTCTACTGACTGTGGGTGGCCATACATGCCGGTCCCCCTCACACGACCAGCCAGCTCACCTGTCCCATCCTTGAACGGTGTTGTGCGGTTTAAAATGGCTTTGTTCACGTTGAACGCCGGCACCACACGGTGTTATGCATACAGCTCTGCAGACCGCTCTCACTCACACACCACTCCGCTCACCTTTCGCATCCTTGAACAGTGCAACACGGGTCGAAATGGCATCGTTCTCATTGAAAACCGGCACCACACGGTGGTCCAGCAGGCAAGATACTGTGTTTCCGAGGCTGTGCTTCCACTACCAAGCGGGTCACAGCTCACCAGTGGCGTCCTTGTAGGGTGTCACGCAGGTTGAATTGTCGTCGCTCTTGTTAAACACCCACACCACACGGTGGACCATGAGGAAGGGAGGACACTGGTGCTGATGAAGCTGTGGGTGGGCAATGGGCGTGCATGCATAGCTCTCCCTCACCCGACCAGACAACCAGCCAGCTCACCGGTGGCGTCCTTGTAGGGAGCAACGCGGGTGGAAATGGCATCGTTCTCGTTGAACACCGGCACCACGCGGTGGTCCAGCAGGGAGGAGACGGTGCTGCGCAGCTGGTTGCGGAACTGCAGGTCCGTGAAATCACGCTCCGTCACCAGCAACTGTACGGTGGGGTAGGGAGGTGAGGGGGGTGGTGGAAGTGAGCCTTGAGGCGCTAGACGCATGGTCCAGCAGGGACGAGACGGTGCTGCACAGCTGGTTGCGGAACTGCAAATTCCTGAAGTCATGCTCTGTGACCAGCAACTGTTGGGGTGGGATGGGGGGAAGTGAGGAGGGTAGTTTGAGCCTTGAGGAGCCAGAGGCACAGGGTGGGTGGGAGCGACGAGATGGGACAGAGGCGGTGAAACTGTGGTGTGCAGCTGGTTGCGGATCAGTGAGGTGTATTTTGAGGCGCCTCAAAATACACCTAACTGCGGTGTGCAGCTGGTTGCGGAACTCCAAATATGCGAAGTCACGCTTGCTCGGTGACCAACAGCTGTTGAGCGTGTGGGGTGGGTGGGGAAGGGATGCACGGTGGGAACCCTCCCAGTGACCATGAAACGCTTCCAAAACCCAATTCTCCTAACCTTTCTCCCCACCTCGCACCAAGCACAGACCTACCTACCCGTCCACGTGTAGAAAGTAGATTTTTGAGACGTCTCAAAAATCTACTTTCTACACGTGGTTTCTCCCCACCTCGCACCAAGCACAGACCTACCTACCCGTCCACCCCTGCAGACCTTGAATCCCCTCACAACCTCCTTCAATAGACCATACCTGAGCACAACCAACGTCCACTTGGTTGAAGAGCGACTCATAAAGAGCCATGAGCTGGCCCTGCCCGATGCCCGCGCACGGCTTGCCGTCAATGTCATCCCCCTGCGGGCGCTGCAGATCCTTGAAGCTCGTGCGCATGAAGCGCTGGAAGCGCAGCTTGTGCCGGCCCACTCCGATCGCGCCACTTGTCACCAGAATCACCTCCCTGCCGTCCGATACGAGCGTCTCTATCTGATTGTAAGAAAACAGTGAGTGAGGGTCACAAAAACAAAAACAAAGGTGGAAGTTAGCTTGAAGAGTAAAGTAATGGGTTGAAAAACAGCAATGTCATGAATCTGACTGTTGTTCGTTTTCTTTGCTTCCCTATTTTCTTGTTTTCGCTCTATCTCTATTTGTTACAAACCTTCACAGACACGACACAAGTTATATCCTGTGCGACGCGTCGTTTCGCGGGGAGTCCCCATTCGTTCAGTTACCGCTGGACAATATGAGAGGTTGCAATAATGAGGCCATACTCATACTCTACTGTCAAGGATGTAATTCAAAAAGAAACTAGAAAGAATAATGATCGCATGGCTCACCGTTTCGCAGAGCGACCCCATTCGCCCGACCATACATGAGAGGCTGCAATCAACGAGGCCATACTTCTTCTCTATTGTCAAGGCTGTAATCCAAAATGAACTAGAGAGAACGATTATCGTAAGGCTCACCGCTTCGCAGAGCGACCCCATCCGCCCAAGCGCGAGCCGTCCATCTGAACGCGTCACAACGGCCGTTCCCACCTGAAACGAATTTGAAAGTGGGGCATGAACGCGCGCGAGGTGTTAAGGAAGAAAAAGTGAAGGATAATCAGAAAAATGTCGAGAAAAAAAAAAATGCAAGAAAACGCTAGACCTCAAGATTAAGCTAGGAACCTACATTGTTGCCTAAGTGATGGAGGCTAATATATTACGCTCACAACGGGCCATGGATCCCGAAGTTTACTACCCTAGCGCATGCCGTACCTTTATCACGATCCGACGAGCGCCTTTCAGCGCCAGGCGCGCGGCAGCCTCGCCTGGCGACGACATCCCTCTGAGCGTGAATAACTGAGAGGCTCGTTCGTAAAACACTAGCCTAGAGGATCAGAGAGCCCTGACGAGATGATCACAGCTTTGAGATGACTAGCACAAGCGAAACGGTCTAGCCCTGCAAAACGCTCGGGCCAAGCAAAATACTCAAGGCTCCAAATCAGGATGGAAGAAAGGTGAAAATGGTGGTGATCGGCCCCACTAAAATCGCCGAACCCCAAGGTTTCCTGCAAAACGGGAGCAACTTTGGAGGCGACTATGCCCCATTGGCAGCCGAAAGCTAGGACAGGAAAAATGAGAATGAAGGCTTCTTTTGCCTCACTCAAGCCGATCTGATTCGTCAATCAATAATTGGATGCCTCACTTGACTGGATGATGTCGTTCAACCAATCAACACCACCACCTTCCATTGCTCGGCGATATACACTACATAGAAACGCGTACATATAATTCGTAAATAACTGTATTTTGTGTCGAAGCATTCTGTACAGGCAAGCTCCCATCTCTGAAGGCGGGAAATCAGACGACCACGCTGACGTCAATTTTCGAAGCTGGATCCTACGTGGCACGTCAACTTGGATAACGAGAATTCTAATTGGCACACATGTACAAACATTGTTTTTCAAGCACCTGGAAAGTCGCAGATGCCAGGCCGTCAACGGTGCGCTGGCAAACATGGAATATCCACCCAGCCAGTCAAGCCTGTCACATCCGCAAGAACCACACTAAAACCTACAGAATCGTCTATGACCATTTTACAACCTACAGCACCGCAAGATTCCTTTCAGAAACCACCCACCGTCAACCAACCAACCAACCACCCAGACCAGTGCCCCCATTGTGCGGGACTTGTTCACCCTGCAATCCCAAGAGCCGGGGAGATCTGTAGGAGTATCTCGAAAAGACCGTTGGAGATACAGTTCAGACGCACACACATCGGGCACGCTGCAGGCCATACCATACAGGCCCAGAATTTCCCACCACCCGCCACACTCATCCCCCAGTCTCATCCATCCAATATCTGTGCTCTGCCTCTTCCCTCCTGTTAGCCTGTTTGCCTCATCCTAGACAGTGTCACTCCATTAGCCTTACTTGGCAGTCGTTCTGTGGCTAGCTTAGAGTTCACTGTCCAAGGCCTTTGCCGTCAGGCTCTGAGCTTTCTTTGCTGTTCGACGCTGCGGGAAAACTCGCAAAACCGAAATTTAACCATTTCTACATTGTGAATTATCATGTCTTCTCCTGGTGAAGCGGCTGCTCGGCACGCGCTTAAGAATGCTCGACGCGTCGTCATCAAGGTGACCATTCATCACTTACCGCTATTACACATTACCTTAACTGTGCCTTCATTCTACTGGCAATGTGCACGACAAACCATTTTTCATGTCTCGTTTCTTCACAGACCACTGTTGCTTCTGTCTCTCTTCTGTTGCTTCCTCCTTTACTCTCAGCTTGGCACGGCCGTCGTCACCCGTCCGGATGGTCATCTTGCAGTTGGCCGGCTCGGGTGTCTCTGCGAGGAGGTGCGTACGAAACGCACAAGAAAAAACCGCATCTGTCTGGAGACTGGTAGAACACTAGCAATCTCTTTGGTTGCCTCCGCCATTGCCAGCAATTTCGCCAGTGGACGCTCAAACCGTTTCTTTATGACTCCTTTTTGAGATTTAAATTATGATTATAACAATATTAATACTTCCGCAACCTCAGGCTCAACTGTCTGAGTGCCGCAAGGTCATCGTTGTCACCAACGGGTCCTTCTCCATGTCTTTTTTCCTGGGAAGACGTCATACGCCATTTGCCCCGTAAATGCTCAATTCATTTCCTTCTTTTTTACTCTTACAGGTTGAGGCTCTTGTATCCGAGGGTCGCCAGGTGATTATCGTCACCAGCGGGTCCGTCGGCGTGGGCCGGCAGAAGCTTCGCTTCCAGGGCTTCATGCGGACAAGCTTCAAGGACCTTCAGAAGCCGCAGGCGGAGCTCGAAGGCAAGCCCTGCGCGGCTATTGGCCAGGGCGAGCTGACGTCACTGTACGAGTCGCTGTTCCATCAGGTTGACGTCGGCTGCGCGCAGCTGCTGGTAACCGAGCGGGAGTTCGCGGATCTGGAGTTTCGCGACCAGCTTCGCAGCACTGTGAATTCGCTCCTCGACCATCGCGTAGTCCCCATATTTAACGAGAACGACGCGATTTCCACGCGACACGTGCCGTACAAGGATGCGTCGGGAATCTTCTGGGATAACGACTCTCTTGCCGCACTCCTGTCTCTCGAACTCGAGGCCGACGCTTTAATTCTCCTCTCTGACATCGACGGTCTCTACACTGGACCTCCGTCCGACCCCGACTCCGTGCTCATCAACACATACGTGAAAGATTCTCAGGACGAGATCAAATTCGGCGAGAAATCGCGCGTCGGACGAGGCGGGATGACCGCGAAGGTGGACGCGGCGTTGAAAGCGGCGATGGGGGGCGTGACGACGGTGATCGCGAGCGGGCTGACAAACGACGGCGTGCTGCGCGTGCTGCGGGGCGAGCTGGTGGGCACGCTGTTCCACAAGGACGCGCATCTGTGGGCTGTCGGCAAGTCGGGGAAAAGCGCTGCTCGCGACATGGCTGTGGCTGCGCGCGACGCCAGCAGGAAGCTGCAGGTATGCTGTCGGAAGAGGAACCTTCGCTGCGATTCGTTTTCCCGGTTTTGGTATGGTAGGTGTGGTGACAGGGAAGTCGTTCTTTCGTTCTAAGGTTCGATTGCGGTATGGCTATGGTAGATTTGATGCCATCTGAGCGATGGTACGATCAGTGCACAGGCAGGATCCAACTAGGTTGGTGTTCAGAGTACATATAGGCGAATTTCTCCCTGGCCGGGAAGTCGTCTGCAGTGTGCTAGAACGCTAACTTATGGCTTGCTGTCACAATGCTCCCTGTGCCATGGAATTATCCGCGATGCAGGCTCTGTCGCAGGAGAAGAGGAAGGAGATCCTTCTGAATGTGGCTGACGCGCTGGTGAAGCGCGAGGAGGAGATCATCGAGCAGAACAACCACGATGTGCGGCTCGCTGAGATCCATCGCGTTGCTCCTGCTCTCATCCAACGGCTGAAACTCAAACCTGGCCGGGTACGTGAAATCTAACAATGTCACAATCAACATCGCGAAATGCAGTGTAGAGGGGATAACAAGGGATTGGGGGAGCATCAGGGTGGAGGATGTTAGTGATTGGAAACAATTTGGGATTCTGTGGCCGAGTGCAATCAATACGAGGACATGTTCGGCATAACAAGGTAAGGATCATATTAGGATCGGAGTTTTTTTTTTATCGGGGAATGCCTAGTGCAGTACATATACAACTCTTGAAAGCTAACCTTCCACCCAGCTCCTGCTGCGCCAGAGGGGTACAAGGCAGGCAATTCTTGTATTACGTTGTGTGTGGATGGGTGTTGGAGCTGCCTGCCCCCCTTGTACCCCTCTTTTTTTCCTCTCATCCGAAGATATTTGCACAGAAACCATTTGCCGATTGTCCTTCTCCGGCACTCCCTCCCCTTAATTTTCCTTCCTCCACCCTTTCCTCCCAGCCAGCTTCCCCTCCCCCAATGTTCCCTCCCTCCTTCAATCTCCCCTCCCCTTTTCCCAACCCCCTCCTTCCACCACATTATACTCCCTCAACCTCTTCACAACCCCTTCCTTTAGACTCAGCAGTCGGCGAAGAACATCTGCCATTTCTTGGATCAGTTACTCCCTTAACTTCACTGCGTTTCTCCCAAACCAAACCACAACCCTCCCCCCCACATTCCCCCCTATTTTTTTCCTCCCTCCCCTCCCACTCCCTCACGCTTCCCCACTATCCCCTCCCTCCCCGCCTCCCCCAACTGCCGTCGTTCCCTTCTCGCCTGCACGTTATTGGCTGGCGGAGGGCATTCGAGCGATAGCTTCAATTCCTGAAAAAACATCCCTGCATTTTTCTTCTCCACCCTCTCTCTTCCCCTCTCTCACTACCGCAATTCCCTCGCTCCCCATCCCAACCACTGTCATGACCGCCTTATTCGCTGCAGATCAATCAGCTGGCGGAGGGCATTCGAGCCATTGCCGAGATGCCTGATCCGATAGCAGAGACACTGGCATGCACGGAGGTGGGTGGTTGGGAGGGCATGAGGGGTGGACAGAGGGATGGGGTTTGTGGGAACTTGTAGGACAGGACGGGCTGGACATGGCACTTGTAGGCAGGCAGGCTGATATAAGGAATGCTGTTCAGTGCGCGACCCACCCTAAGCCCTTGGTTGACCAGCTAGTACAGGTAACGTTTCACATGCAAGCAGGTGGTGATCTGAAAAGTAGAAAATGAGAGTTCACAAGAAACTCACAGACGCTCCTATGAGTTTGCCAACCTATTCACGGATCTGCCACCCTTGCCTTCAGTTGGTTCCTTTCCCTTCAATTGCCAACCTTCCCACCGTATCACCGCTCTGCCACCCTTCCCACGTCTCTGCCACCCTATTCACGAACGTCCCTCTGCTTCTGACCAGGTGGCGGAGGGCTTGGTACTGGAGAAGCAGCGGTGGCTGCTGGGAATGACTTTTGAGTTGCCTTAAGTCCAACTGCGCCACCTTCCGACAAATCTGCCACCCGATTCGCACTTGTCCCTTTCTTTCTGACCAGGTGGCGGAAAACTTGGTGCTGGAGAAGCAGCGGTGGCCACTGGGGGTGCTGCTGGTTATCTTTGAATCGCGGCCAGACGCCATGCCGCAGGTGAGAGGGGTGATGACATGCCACAGGTGAGAGGGGTGATGACATGCCACAGGTGAGAGGGGTGATGACATGCCACAGGTGAGAGGGGTGACGTCATGTCGTGTACCATACCCCGTGCCACGCACCATACCCTGTGCCACACACCATACCCCATGCCACGCACCATACCCCATGCCACGCACCATACCCCATGCTGTGCACCATAACCCATGCCACGCACCATACCCCATGCCACGTACCATACCCCATGCCACGCACCATACCCATGCCACGCACCATACCCCATGCCACGCACCATAACCCATGCCACGCATCATAACCCATTCCACGTACCATAACCCATGCCATGTACCATATCGCACGCCACATAATTTAATCCATGCCACGCACCATACCACACGCCACATAATATACCCCATGCCACGTACTGTACCCCGAGCCATGTTCCATACCCCATGCATGAACCTCAAACCTGGCACCCTATGAGCATGCTTCATCACCCATACTCGAATCATGGGCCTTGGGCCATGGCTTCTTTTGTGCTCCATACCCATGAGTCATGTCACTGTACTTCGCCGAACTGACCCATCCAACTAGGAAAAAACATAGAAAACTCAAGAGTTTTAGTACTTTGATAGCACATGCGAAATGGATTCTCCCGTCACATGCTTGCCTGATTTTCTTACCCGCTCCCTCGTCTCTCCCACCACCCATCTCTTTGTTGGCCTGCTCAGATTGCAGCCCTGGCAATTCGCAGTGGCAACGGGCTGTTGCTCAAGGGAGGGAAGGAGGCACTCAACTCCAACCGCATCATCCACGAGGTGAGCTCCGTTGTGGTAACCACTGCAAGTGCTAACCACAAGGTAGTCATAAGGTAACCACATGTGAGTGGTAACCATCATGAGATAAGCATTCAGATATCAATGATTGATGCAAGATCCATTAGTTAGCCACTGTGGAGTAACCGGTTGATGGTGTATACACAACCTCTAAACATGCAGACAGACGTACAGTTGGGGAACCTCTAAAGCCACCTTCCCCCTTCCCACCTCCCCCAGGTGATTGCATCCGCCCTGCCAGCCGAGGTGGGCCCAGCCCTGATTGGCCTGGTGACTTCACGCGACGACATCTCGGATCTGCTGAAGCTGGACGATGTGATCGACCTAGTCATCCCGCGCGGCAGCAACGCGCTGGTGAATCATATCAAATCGCACACCAAGATTGCGGTGCTGGGCCATGCGGACGGTGTGTGCCACGTGTACGTGGACAAGGCAGCCAGCCTCAAGATGGCCAAACGGATCATTCTCGACGCCAAGATGGACTATCCGGCTGCCTGCAACGCCATGGTGAGATGATGCTTTACTGCCGTGGGATGGAGCATTTATGTACTGCCATGGTATGCACATTCAAATTGCACTTACAATTATGTACTGCAATGCACCACATGCCATTTGCTAAGTGCAATTTGCTGTGGAATTGTGGAATACGCGGTGTGGAATGTGGAATGTGCAATGTTAAATGCACGGTGTGCAATGAGCAGGAAACGCTGCTCATCCATGAAGACCTGGCGAGATCAGGAGCAGCAGCAGACATCATCAAGGAACTCAAGGAGAATGGTAAGCTTCTGGCATCCTTACCTCACGATTGCATCCGTTCCTCTATGAGCTCTTCGTTAACTCGATTCTTTTTCTCATTCGCACATTCTTATCCCTTTTCCATTCACTCAATGTCATTGCTTTCGCAAGGCATCTCATTACAATCGTTTACACTTACAGCAAGCTTAATCTTGAGATTGGATTCATTTAATTTTCTCAGATTGGATGTATTTTGCGCCTGTTCCATGCATGCAGGCATAGCGATGTATGGAGGCAAGGGGGCAGCCGCACCCTTCCATCTGCCTCCTGCGGCCAATCTGCATCACGAGTACGGGTCGCTGGAATGTACGGTGGAGATCGTGCCGGACATTGACGCGGCCATCCACCACATCCACACCCACAGCAGCGCGCACACCGACGCCATCATCACCGAGGACCAGGAAGCTGCGAAGAAGTTTCTGGCGTCGGTGGACAGTGCGGTCGTGGTGCACAACGCCAGCACTCGCTTCTCCGACGGCTTCCGCTTCGGCCTAGGAGCTGAGGTGAGTCGGTTAGAAAAGGAGAGAGTAGATGTTGCTGCTTTATCAACGGCTTCCGCTTCGGGCTCGGCGCCGAGGTGAGACCGAGGAGGGAGGATGGAGAGCACCGAGATAAAAAGTGGTGGGAACCCAGGGGATCGGTTTTCGCAAGCTGCTACTCTCACACCCTTTTGCTTCAGGCTCAATGCTGAGGTGAGTCAGAGGGGTGGAAGATGGATGAGGGTGGGGGAACGGGCTCAATGGGCTGAAACGGGGAAGCTGCACTTGGGACGCCAAGATTAGAAGTTGCTTGGTTGCGACGAGTTGTTCGCACCCTGATTATTGGTCCTCTTTATTATGGATCTCCCTCCAATGCACTGTAGGCATCCGAGCAAGCCGCATCCATTTGGATTCTCCATGCAATGCTTGGATGGTGGAATTCTTCATTCTCATCCAAACTAAATCCTCACGCTTTCTTTTGCTCCTATTGCGCTTCTGTGTCGTTTGCAGGTGGGCATCAGCACGAGCCGCATCCATGCGAGAGGGCCTGTCGGGGTGGAGGGTCTTCTCACAACACGCTGGTTGCTGAGAGGTGCTGGACAGGTGGTCAACAAGGACAAGGACGTCACATACACCCATAAAGCACTCCCGGTGACCAAGGATGGTGTGATATCTAACGGAAATTAAGAGGAGCAAATCTTCAGGAGGTCATAGAACACCAGATGCGATGCACAGCTCTACCATTTGGGTTCTATGTATGGGACTTACATGTGGCGAGAATGAGAAGTAATATGCTTAGTTTTATTGAGGCAACTTTATACATGTGCAAGCGAATTTCATTGAACAAGTGTAAGCAAATGTATTGTGAGTTCGCGATTTATGAGCAGGTGACTCACCAGCAGCGATGCGCCACAGGAGTTCTCGATGTCCACAAATTTCAGCAAATCGTTCTCCACCACTGATTCACTCGAACACCAACATAGCGGGTGTTTTTCTCCCGCCATTTTCTCTGGTGTCAGGATCACCACCTCCACCACAACCATTTGTAAGGAGGGGCTGTCCCCAGCGCAATTCACTTCCAACGGTTCAATCCAGCGCAGAAAGGTTAAAAACCGTCAGCCGCAGAACACTTCCAGACCGTGAATTACCCTTTTGCACCGTCCAAAGCGACCAGTGCATGAATGAGTATCCTCCAAGGACCTGTGCTCCAAACTGGACCAGTTCTTTAGAGACGGTATTACTACCATCGACTAATCCCATAGGTTGTAGAGGAAAGGCTAGGAGACACGAGCTTTCTCCTCAGAGTTGAAAGACTAGGAGACTCGAGCTTTCTCTTCACAGCTGGTTCCTTAACTTTCGATGATGTGGAAGCGAGGGTCACATTGACTCATTACTTGTCGCGCAAACAGCCGTTAGATTATCATTCCTGATTTCCCCAATCACGTCGTGCAGTCATTCCTGAACATACAAAGCCGGCGTTTTGAGCCCTGTTGATTCTTATTCCTCTACAGATTCCCCGTTGAGACACGTTCCTAGCCCCGCATTCCGCTGTAGAGTTCCTATTAATTCACATTCTCTATTTATCTCGGAAAGATCCTTCCTCTCTCACCCTCAATCCCTTCGTCCATTTTATGGTGGAAGAACCTTCCGCTTACATAGACTCTCCGTGCTCTTTAGATATCGTTGAGTCCTGATTGGCCCGTCCTCTTTCGTTCAGGCGATGGCTCCGCGTCATCCCTCAATTTCTGACACGTCGCATCAAGCCACGTCACACCCTCCCAGACCTCTCTCCGCCACGTCACACGAGACCGTAACGGATCATGTCACCATACAGCATTCCACGTCCCGCAGTGCCACATTACACGAAACCTCTGCACACCATGACACGTGTCGGCATAAGAGCAGTCACAATCTGAAGGCCGACCAGCACCAATCAAAACATGCAATGACTCACCCGAAACGAGGCAGTCACTCCCAATCCCATTCTCACCCTCACCCTCACCCACACACTCACACTCACTCTCACCCTCACTCTCACTCTCACTCTCACCCTCACTCTCCCTCTCACAACCACCCTCACCCTCACACTTCCTCTCGCCGGCTCACGCACTCCCTCTCTCATCCTACCAAACCAACCCGTCTGGCTCGGATAATCCGGCTCGTGCGCACAAGCACTGCGCAATGCCGCCATCTCATAAGCCAAGCACCAGCAACAGCAGCATCTGGAGCCCAGCAAACAGCCAATCAGGCCAGAAAAGCAGCTCTTAAAGCCTCAGAAGCAACAGGGGAAGCGGCGTGCTTTCTCTTCTTCCTCTGCCTGGACTTTCTTGATTTCTTTCTCTGCTACGTCTTCTGGTTCCTTGACCGCTTGGCTGGCGAAAACGCTCCACCCTGCTACTGCAACCGCAGGATCAACAGCAGCAGCAGCAGCAGCAGTGCAAGCACCATTGCAAGTACGATTCCCGGAAGCAGTAGCAATGAAAACTCCCATGCAGTCTTTTCTAATCGGTCCGGCTCAACCATTGCCGGATTTGTCTTCTCATCCGGAGCTATGCCGAGCCTGATCCCACCCAGCATCGCCCCGGACCTGTTCCATCGCAAATGGCGAGTTTCATTTAACTTGGGAGCACTTCGAACGGCGAGAGTTGCCCTGCCGTTCTCCCTGGACTGGAGGACGAAGCGAGTGCTGCAGTGGTGCGGTGTGCAGCAGGTTGTGCAGGGTTGTGACGCGCAGCAGGTTGTGCAGGGTTGTGACGCGCAGCAGCTTGTGCAGTTGAACGGGGCGAAGCAGAACAGGATGCAGGGCGAACAGCAAGAAGCGGAGGGGGAGGAGATAAGATATGTGGAAACGAGGCGTCGTTTGAGCAGTTGTGATTGCTCTGGTGAAGAGAGAGTTGCAGATGTCTCTGGTGGCAATGCTGCTCTTGCTGCTGCTGCTGCTGCTGCTGCTGCTGCGGACATCGGTGCTGCCATTGGTGCTGCTGACGGTTGCAGCAGCAGGGAATGCCATCCTCTCTGGACTCCCCCGGACGCCTTAACGCATGGCTCCATTCGCCATCCGCACTTCTCCTTCCCTCACCACCACCAGCAGCACCACCAGCACCACGATCACCCCCAGCAGCGGCTTCAGCAGCACGAACAGCAGCCGCAGCCCTCAAACGAGCGTGTGCCATCTGACCACGATCCTCTCCTCTCTTTCTGCCACGTGTCACCTGCTGATAGGCCGCACATGCATGAGGTTTCTGGTAACCACTCTGGAGTTGTAACTGGCCTTCGTTATGTTACAAATCCAGCAGCAGTTGTTGACAGGGGTGATGCAAATGGTGCAGAGGATGCAGCAACAGGCGCAGATAGACAAGTGATGAACGAAGGACAAAAAGCAGCAGGAGTAGCAGCGAATTCAGTAGCAGCAGCTGGACCAGTGGGTGTAGCAGTTGGCTTTGGTAACGTTGGGTCAAGTGCGGTTGGGTCTGGTGAAGCTGGGTCCGGCAGGGTGGGAGGAAGATGGACGGACTGTTACTGCGAGGAGTGCAATGATGCTTATGAAAAGCAGGCGTTACGTTTCACCGTGGTGGGAGGGAGTGCGGTGCAAGGGAGTGCGGTGGACAGGGGTGTGGTGGGAGGTGGTGCAGTGGGAGGGGATGTAGTCAGAAGTAGTGTGGTTGAGGACGAGAAGCCTATGGTTCCCAGCAGCAGCAGCACTGCATCCCCTCTCTTGGACGCTGAATGCAAGGAGAAGCCCACCGTACTCCTGCTGCATGGCTTCGGTGCTGCTTCCTCCTTTTGGACTGACACCGCCGTGCCGTTTCTTCCCAGAAGCTTCCTGGAGGGCAGGAGGGTGGTGGCGGTTGACCTGCTGGGGTGGGGCAAGAGCCCCAAGCCGAGGGACTGTGACTATAGCATTGAGGAGCATGTGAGGTGAGGCATGAGCGGATGTGTCCATAGCGAATGTAGAGGCATTCCCCCCCATACTGAAGTTGGTGGCGGTGGACCTCCTGGGGTGGGGCAAGAGCCCCAAGTTGAGGGACTGTGACTATAGCATTGAGGAGCACGTGAGGTGAGAAGTGGTGTGGTGTGGCTATAGCGAATGCTGGGCATGTGAGTTACTCCCTATGCCGAAGAGTGGTGGCTGTGGACCTGCAAGAGGTGCCAGATATTTGCATCTTGCAGCTTTCACCATCTGTTCCATGTATATCTCCAACCCTTCCAATCCTTCCTCCCTTTCCTCCCTCCCCTTTCTCCCTTACCAGCTGGATAGAGCGCACGGTGCTGGCCCCGCTCAGCATATCCACCTTCCACATCGTGGGGCACAGCATGGGCTGCCTCATAGCCGTGGTTCTGCCTGCTCCCCCTTCATTCCCCCCATTCTCCCTGGCCCCCACTCCCCCCAACCTCGTCCTCCACACCAGTTGGATAGAGCTCACGGTGCTTGCTCCGCTCAACATCTCCACCTTCCACATCGTGGGGCACAGCATGGGCTGCCTCATAGCTGCCGTTCTGGCTGCTTGCAACCGGGACAGAGTGGTGTCTGTCTGCCTCTACTCGCCCGTGAGTGACAATCTTTCCCACTATCGGGAACACACACAGAGCACTGGTTCTGTTGTTGCTGCCTGTATGGCTGCTTGCAACCGGGACAGAGTGGTGTCTGTCTGCCTCTACTCCCCTGTGAGTAGCCCTCTCAGTATTGGAATAACAGGTTGGCACCATGCAAGGTTGGTGCCACAGCATGGGCTGCCTGGTAGCTGGCCTCCCAGCAGCTCTCAGCCGCCACAATGCCTCGAATCTATCACTCTCTCTCCTCTCGTTTTCCCTTCCATTCCTCTATCACCCCTTCCCCAGCCCTTCATCCCCCCTTGCCCAGGCCTCACGCCAGCAGAGGAGTTTTACCGCCTCGTCACCCCGCGCTGCTTCTATCAGACATACATTCTATTCACAACGTTTACTCCTCTTCCCCCACCCAATGCCACCCTATACCATCCCAGCCGTTCATCCCCCCTCGGCCAGGCCTCACGTCAGCAGAGGAGTTTTACCGCCTCGTCACCCCGCGCTGCCTCTCCTCTGCACTGCTCTTGGGCATCAGCGTCATGTCGTGGTTTGAACACGTGGGCCGAGTCATCTGTGCCTTGCTGGCGCAATTCCATTGGCTCTCTGACCCCCTTGCCGCTCTCCTGCTGCCCCGGATAGGAGCCAAGTGAGTGTGGGGAGTGAGTGTGGGGAGTGAGTGTGGGGAGTGAGTGTGGGGAGTGAGTGTGGGGAGTGAGTGGGGGAGTCTGATTGCGTGGGGAAATCTGAGCAAGTGGAGATGTTTGAATGGGATGGAAAAGAATGAAAAGGGATCTATGGTTGTGCATGTTGGCTCTTTTGTGCATATGGATGCATTACTCCTGTCATGTGGACCCAACATGCACTATGGTTGGGCATCAGTGTCATGTCGTGGTTTGAGCATGTGAGTCGAGTCATCTGCGCCTTGCTGGTGCGATTTCATTGGCTCTCTGACCCCCTCGCTGCTCTCCTGCTGCCCCGCTTAGGCGCCAAGTGACTGTGGGGTTCTGTGTGGGTGATTCTGAGCGAGGAACCTCTGCATCTTTTTAGGATTCTCTGAAGTCGCCGCATGTGTGTCAAGTCATACAAGCATGATCCCCACGTTGCTCTCCTGCTGGACCACCTAGGAGCCAAGTGAGTGAGAGCTTGTGGGTAGGGAAGTCTGAGTGAGTGGAAAAATCTGGGTGAGTGGAAGAATTTGACTGAATGGAAAAATATGAGTGGGTGGGAAAGTTTAGTGCTAGGGTTGGAGTAAGCGGCCGGCGTCCAAGTGAGAAGAAGGCTGATTGTGATTGTGTGCTTCGCATGCTGCCACGCTCGTATTGGCCCTCTGTTTGAATCCCACGCTGCTTCCTGCTGCTCCCCTTAGGCACCACGTGAGTGAGTGTATGGTGCGGTTTCTTTGGCAAGATTGCTTGCTTGGTATGTACGGTATGCTCCTCGCCTCGCATCCTATTCTCATGCTAGACTGCTCGTCCCGATGCGCCCTCTCTGTGCTTCATGCTGCCTCCTTCCTTCATGTGAAATTTCACCCGTCACACACACCACACCGCATCCCACTGCTTCTTCAACACCATCTGTCTCTCCTCTCTTATGCCCCCCTCCCAACTGTTCCCTCCCTCTCTCTGCTGCAGGCTTCCACCCTCCTTCATGCGGGATTTCACCTGCCTCACACCACACTGCATTACACTGCGCACAACCCTTTCCCTCATACTCCTTTCATACTCCCTCCCTCTCCTTACAACAGGCTCCCACCCTCCTTCATGCGGGATTTCACCCGCCACACACACCACACCGCGTGGCACTGCTTTTTCAACACCATCTGCGCTGGCACCAACTTCCTGGAACCTTCCCTGCACCTACTGCACACCCAGAGCTCCACAATTGTCCTCCCTACAACCAGTGGTGCTTGTAAGGAGACCAATTCAGCGTATAGTGGAACAGAGAGCAGTGAGTTATGCAACAGAAGCGTTCCTGTGACTATAGTGCATGGTGATAAAGACAAGCTGTGCCCGATTGACTCAAGCAGGGGGTTGGCTCGGCGGCATCCGAACGTGAAGCTGCTGGAGGTTCGGGGAGAGAACCACATTACAGTGGTGGTGGGTAGGGAGAAAGAAGCTGCTCAACAAATTGTGGAGCTCGTCAACGAAGCTGAGGCCACAAACATGGTTGCTTGAATATATTTATATATTATTTCCATGGTTCTACTACGCTGAACGTGTTGCCTTGGGATAGGAAACGTTTGTCTATAGAGAGAAGGAACTACCGGTATGGAGTATGGATTCTGATCTCTTACCGTATATAGCAGAATCTCACCATGATGGTAGGTCTTGCCCATTGCCCAACCATCGCACACCCTAGTGTGAAACTCATTATAGTTCGCATTCACTTCGGCAACAAAGCCTCATTAGCAATATGTTCAGGCCTGAAACCAGGGACTCACAAGCACTCGAGGGTTTCTTTGTGACCACTTGAGTGAATCCCCCCCACCAGTTTTTGACATCAGTGAGTGAAGAAACATGTGAAAACACGCTCTACATTTAGTTCTTGTTATCTGGTGACCTGTATCGCGGCCCTTATTAGTGACTTTCGCTGTCCAAGCGACAGGCGGACCATGTGATTTCATATTCCCAGTCAAGCAGCAGACCAGGGCCTATCTTTGGATTTTGGCTACTCATGATTAGCACTGCAGCCATTTTCAATACCCTTTTGAGCAGTGTGTGTCAAAGTACTATCTTACTTGTAGGCTATAGTGGGGCACTCCTTATGGGGTACAGCACTTCTAGGGTTAGCACTTGTACCCCAACTCTTGATAATCCAATCATTCCTGCACAGTGATTCTGATATGGGATTCAGAGCAGGAAACCTGTTAGGTTTTTAGGGCCCACCGATAGTTCCGCTAGTTCTTGCCCGAAGCGCCCTTGCGCTGTCCGGCCCTGCTCGCACAGTGTCGCGCTGCCCTGCAGCTACTCGCACTGCCTGCCCTAGCGCGCTGCCTGCGCCCCGCGAATGCGCTGCCTGTGCCCCGCTCGTGCGCCGCTTACGCCCGACCTGCGCCACCTGCGCGCTGCCCGTGCACTACCTTCAGCACCCGCCCCCTGCCCCGCGCGCCCCTGCTGCCCGCGAGCAACCTGCTGGCCGCGAGCAGCCCCTGCCCCAGCACACCCCGCTGCTCAGCGCGCCAGCGCGACCTGCAGCCCAGCGCGCCAGCGCGCCCCGCAGCCCACAGCACCAGCGCGCCCTGCTGCCCAGCGCGCCAGCACGGCCCGCAGCCCACAGCGCCAGCGCGCCCTGCTGCCCAGCGCGTCAGCGCGCCCCGCAGCCCAGCGTGCCCTGCCTCGCCCAGCCGCGCCGCCCAGCCCTGCCGAGCCGTGCCGCCCAGGCCGAGCCGCGCCGCCCAGCCCGAGCCGCGCTGCCCATCCCGAGCCGCGCCGCCCTGCCTCATTCGCCAGCCCCACCGAGCCGCCCTGCTGCTGCTACTGATGCTACTGGGAGTGCTGGAGGTGCTGGAGGTGCTGCCGGGAGTGCTGGAGGTGCTGGAGGTGCTGCCGGGAGTGCTGGAGGTGCTGCCGCGAGTGCTGGAGGTGCTGCCGGGAGTGCTGGAGGTGCTACTGGGAGTGCTAGAGGTGCTGGAGGTGCTGCCGGGAGTGCTGGAGGTGCGGCTATTGACTGTCACTGCCTGTCATGGCCACTATCACGGTAGTCGCAGCGGCTAGGGGTGGACAGCAGCAGTCACTGCCTCTCCCGGACGACCCCACCCCTCAGCAGCTTCGTGAGTGGGTTATTCGGCGAGGCAGTCCTGGTGGTGGAGGTTTTGGTTTTATGGGTACTGCACAGCGGCGGCAGCAGCGGCCGCAGGGCACCTTCTCCCTGCAGCGGCTTCGCGACTGTGCTTCTCAGCGATGCGTCCCTGGTTGTGTAGAGGCTGCTGCTCTAGGTGCTAGTGCGTCTGCTGCAGCTCTAGGTGCTCGTGATTCTGTCGCTGCTATAGGTGCTAGTGCGTCTACAGCCACAGGTCCTGCCTCAGCTGAGGCCTTGCACACTTTCACACTCGACTCAGGCGCGTCATGTTGCTTCTTTCGTGATTGCACCATAGTCACACCACTCGCAGCACCTGTCCCAGTCTCACTGGCTGACCCCACTGGGGGCCCAGTAATCGCGCGAGCCTCCACTGTCCTCCCGTGTCCGGCGGTCCCCTCCGGGTCTCTCTCAGGTCTCCACCTCCTGGCGTTCTTAACGAAATTTTTGAGCAATGCAGTTCTCCAGGATGTATGGGTTGATACCTTATTCCTGGAGGACAGCGTGTGGCGATCTGTATGTGCTCACGGAATGGCCGTCACCTTCCTACGTTCACTCGCCAGCCTGGGTCCGGTCTGTACACACTGACCACTGAGTCTGCACAGGTGGCTGCGTCAGGTCAGGCGACTGCGTCGAGTCAGGTGTCTACGTCTGGTCAGCTTCCAGCGTCTTGCTCGTGTCGGTTACTCTCCCACCAGACTCCTCTGGCACCACCGCCTCGCTCACCCCTCACTGCCGCGTCTCCACAGCATGCACTCCCGTCTCCCTGTCTCTGGCCTTCCTAGGTCCTTGCCCCCCCTCCCGCGCTCGCCTACCCCGCCGTGCCTTCCTTGCATCGAGGGGCGGCAGCGCGCCGCTCCTCACTCCTTCGAGTTTCCTCCGACCACTGCTCCTCTGCAGACTCTCCACATGGACGTGTGGGCCACGGCCCCCGTCAGTGGAACGGACCAGGAGCGCTACTTCCTGCTGGTTGTTGACGACTACACACGCTACACCACCGTCTTTCCCTTGCGGCGCAAGGCAGACGTCAGCGGAGTTTTGATCCCCTGGATCCGTGCTACTTGTCGCCAGCTGCGCGAGCGGTTTCGGCGGGACTTGCCAGTCCTGCGTCTGCACTCTGACAGGGGCTGTGCGTTCTCTTCTGGCCTCCTTGAAGAGTTTTGTTGAGACGAGGGCATGCCAGACGTTCACACTTCAGGCCTCTCCTCAGCAAAATGGGATTGCTGAGCGTCGCATTGGCTTGATCATGGAGGTTGCTCGTACCTCCATGATCCATGTGATTACTCCCCATTTTCTGCGGCCATTTGCGGTCCAATACGTTGCGCATCAGCTCAACATCTGGCCCCGTGTCTGTGAGCCAGAGACCTCGCCCACACTCCGGTAGACGGGGAAGGTTGGCGATGCGTCGGTGTTTCGGGTCTAGGGCGCGCTCTCCCTTGTTCGTGATGCCAAAGCGAGCAAGCTCTCCTCTCGCACTCTCCGCTGCGCCTTCCTTGGCTTCCCCACCGACGCCCCGCCGTGGCAGTTCTACCACCCACGCTCGTTGCGGAGATTCACTCTACAACGGTAGTGAGCTGGACTACGGGGGTTGGCACGAACTACTAGGAGTGATCGTAGCTTTGCCTAGTTCCTTAGTGCTTGCACAATCACGGGAGAAATCTGCAACAGTTTCCACTAGCAAAGTTTACATTACATAATAGTTGAGTAAGCAATGACAACAATGACTACATCAGGCACCTTCAAACTCTGCAGCTAGCCTGGTCGACCCACCTTTGACGAGTCTGTATGTTTCTACACCCACACGCGTCCCACCCGGTCCCCCTAGCGCCTCTCTTCCTGGTACTATTCCCCCCCA